AGGAAGGAAGGAAGGAAGGAAGGAAGGAAGGAAGGAAAAAAGTATTCAATATGGTTGTCCTGAGTTCCTCAACAGGATCTTCCTGTTTGAGTAGGGCATGATGTCACACCCCTGTAATCTCAGCAGTTGGGAGGCTGAGGCAGGAGAACAGTAACATTGAAGCTGCTCTGAATGCAAATTCACAGTGAATATGCATCAAGCATGAACCATATAGTGAAACTGCCGAACCTTCTTCTCTAGAACCTCCATCTCCTTGGGAGGAGGCAGCCAAGAATAGCTCTTCTCTTCTGAGGCGGACCCCGTAAGAAGCCCCCCGCGAGCTCACCACACCCTCCCCCAGGGCACCTAACGGAGCCCCAGCCCACTTACCTGAGGCCGCAGCAGCAGGAATACTGGCTGGCGCAGGCTGCGAGGAGCTGCTGCTCTCGGTCATCAGGCACGGGTTGCTGCCAGCGTTCTCCCTCTTGACAAGCAGCTCCGCAGCGCTGGGCAGGGGGATGGGGTGGCTGATGCCCAGCTCTTCCTCCTGTGCCTGCTGTCTTCTCAGGGCCACCTACAGCACAACACAGCAAGTCACCCTCCAGCCCCCAGGATCATCTGTGCAGCTTTGCCCAAGCCAGTGATGGCATCATCAGGTATTAGTGCCGGGGCTGAGGTCTGAGCACCTCATTTCTCTTTCTCACTTTTTTCCTCTTATTTCTTTTACCTGCTTGTTCAGGTAAATTATGTGTGGGCCAGGCGGAATATGGCCAAGAGTCAGGAATCTGGGCGAGAGCAGGTGCTCCCCAATACTGTTAAACAAAGGTGTATCACACTATCTGGAGGATCAGAAAGAGCCACAGAATCAGCCAGCCAGGAGGGTACAATCTCCAGAGAAGAAATGCTGATGAATTAGGAAGAACTGGATCGCACATTCCTTCATTCTACAAACACGGTAAAACCTGGCAAGTTCAAGGCCTTGAGTTTGGTCCCTGGATGGCGGGGGGAGACCATGGAGGGGGTGCCTCACCACACCAGGAACATCAAGGAGTAAGGTTAAATTAAATCTCAAATTCATCACCATTTAGGAGAAACTAAGATGAGACCAAAAGCAGCATTTCAACAGAGTCAAGAATAAGATAAAGCAGGGACTGGGGAGATAGCTCAGTGGTCTAAGCGCCTGCCTGGTAAGCTCAAGGATCCGGATTCGATTCCTGATACTGCACACTGTGCAGACCCCGGAACCCGGAAGCACTGAGCTGGCCTTGGAAACCAGGCGTGGGGGTGCATGCCTGTAATCCCATCGCTGGGCAGGCTGAAACAGGAAGATCACTACGAGTTCAAGCTGCGTCATAGTGAGACCCTGTACCAAATAAATAAAAGATTTTTTTTTAAAAATAGGATAAACAGGACTTGGACGGCAACAAGCAAGGGGCAGAACAATCCAGAATGATCTGGAACAAGACAGGCAGGAAAGGGAGGGGCTGCTTTTGAAACTGTCGCCTTCTTTCCCGGGGTAGTAGGAAAATACACAAAAAGTGACGCTTCGGGAAGGGGGCCTAATCTTGTGTTTTAGTGCCTGGGGAAGGACAGGATAGAAATGAGAAAAAAAGGAGAGGGCGGGTGTGATATTTTGAGAGAAAAGAAAGCACAGCTAGAACTAGGATAATAAAGAAACTGACATACCATGAAACTCCTCTTGGTCCTCCTTCAATTTATCCTCTTTCAAATAACATTGTTAAAAGTTTTTAAAAGGCTTAAAGAAAGTAAGCTGTGTTTTTTTTGTTTTCTACTTGTAACAAAAGAGATTTTCTACTGAAATTGACCATTTAGGGACCATAAAAGAAAGTGAACTACTTGTACCTCCGAGACCAAAAAAACAAGCCTAAAGGTAAATTAAAACAGTAAACTAAAAACACAACTAGACTACAAAGCTGGGAAAAGTGGTGCAGCCCCACAACTCCCACCAGAGGGGAAGCTGAGGCAAGAAGATCCCAACTGGGAGGGGGGAATAGACAAAGAGCTCTGGTCTCAAAATGGTAAGGCTGCCCCTGGGTTCAATTCCCAGTGCAGCCAAAAACAAACACAACTAGTCTACCTGTTGCATAGTCTCAACTAGATGTCCGATCTGGAGATAACTTCTACTCAAACCAAGCTATCACCCAATTACTTAAATCTTGGACCTATTAACCTATAGGTTTCAACACAGTATCAATGACTTTAAACAAAACCTAAGTTTTCAAGAAATCTGCAGACCTCTAAAACCATCACACAAACGCTATACACACCCAAAATGCACGCATTATTTCATAAATTCAGGACCCCTTTTAAGAGACCTGCGTTACAGTTTGTTAAAGGTTTTCTGGATTAGGAGGCAGGTGAAAACTAAGAACAAATATTTTAGAATCATATGTATAATCAGCTTCAAACTACCGTACCTTAGAATACCTAAAAATATATAGGTTTTTAAAGATTCTACCCTGACACAAACCTGACTTAAAGAATCCTCAAGTTTCACATCCTAAAAGTAACTCCCAATTTTTCAATCGAGGAATCAGCCTTTTCAGAAATAGCCCCCCTCATAAAAATTATTCTAAGTTAATACTCCCCACCATGATACACATCCTTAACCCAACTAGTCTTCACATGAAAATCTACGCTAATGACTCAATGTTCAAAATTCTTGTTTGCCTACAAGCAAAATTTAGAAGTCCTTAAGATTGTAAAACCAACCTCGACGTGATATTTTAAAGTTACAGCCAAAATACAAAAAAAAAAAAAAAAATCTATGGGGAAACCGAAGAAAACTATTTTCAACCATTGCCCTTGCAATAAGTGAAGTCAAAATATGTTTAATTTAAAGCACATTTTAGGGAATCTGTTGTACCATAGATCGTTGATGAGCTTTAAGCTTTTGTGCAGTTCCGTTCAACTTTCTCATCTAATTCACTTCCAAAAGAGAATTTTACACATTCCTAATTAACGTGTTCATTGTTCGCAAACATTTCTCCCGAACCTTTGCATTTTAAATAACCCGTCTTAAAAAGATGAAACAACTTTTTTGTGGAAAGAATGTATATTATTGCCTTCTAAAACTCCTGCCTGGGATACCAATGGCGTTATTACGGTTAAGATGCTAAATTACTAGCCTGCCGCCGAAGCTATTTGAATTTAAAGAAAACGAACGAACGGCCGGCACAACTTCAAACCCGCGCACTTTCTTTCCCCTTCGGACGTCTTTTTTAAAAAATCCTAAACCCTCCTTAAAATATACTCCGAGCGACCCGCGCGTGCACCGCCAGGGTCGAGCCGCGAAGTTTGAACGACGGCGAAGCCGCTCGTCCCGCCCAAGATGGCTGAGCGCGTTGCGGAGGGGACGCGGGGACCGTTCCGCAGGACTCCGCGCCCGCCGCCGCCCTCGGGGCCCCGCTCCCCACCACCTCCGCCCCGAGCTCCACACCGCTGGCACGCCCTTAGTTTGCTGGGCTAGCGCAGCCAGCTCGCGCGCGGGTCTGGGATCACATGGACCCAGGCGCCCGCCCCGCAGCGCAGCGTCCCGGACCCCGGCTCGAGCAGAGCGCCCCGCAACCGCACGGGGGGCGGCGCACACACCCGGGGCTCCCGAGCGCAGCGGGCCCGACCCGACCCCGGCCCGGCCCGGCCTCCCGCTCCGGCGGCGGTGCGAGGCGCAGAGCCTGGCCCAGGGCGCGCCCGGCCGTCGGGGTGCCCGGCGCCCGCGGCCCTCCGGGGAAGCCCGAGCCTGCGCCCCCAAGCGTCGCGCCCTCACCTGCGCGGCCATCACGCGCTGTCTCTCGGCGATCAGGTTGCACTTCTTGCACTGGCAGTCCCGCCACATGCAGAAGCGCTTGTGGCCCTTCAGAGGGGACGCATAGCCGTGGTTCCGGCAGCGTGCGCACTTGGGCAGCCGCGGGGATTTCTTGCCCGCGGCGCCCAGGCCCGACGCCGCCCCGCTGCCTCCGGCGCCAGAGCCGCCTGCGGCCCCCAAGTGCGCTCCCGCCGCCTTGCCGAAGCCGCCGGCCGCCTTGCCCTGAGGCGGCACCCCGGTGCCGTGCGGGGTGTCGGCTGGCGCGGAGGGCTTGCCGAAGGCGTCTTCGTTGGGCATGTTGGCCCCGGAGCCGCGCAGACGCAGGCTGGCGCTCGGCTTGGCGAAGTCTGCGGGAGAGGACCCAGCGGACGGCGAGGGTCGGGAGGAGGAGTCGCGGTAGCGTGCGCACCCAACCCGAGGTGCAGCCCGAGTGTCAAGCCCCGGAAAAGCCGCGCCAGAAATAGTGGTGGGGGGTTGTGCCCTTCTGCTTTTGGCGCGCGTGGCTCAGAACTTTTGGATACTTTTCAAAATGTTCCCGGGATTTCAGAGGCGGGAGAAGGAGCCTGGGAAAGTGGCCACGCCCTTTGTCCCCCAGCCCCAGCCGCTGCACTCGCTGTACCTGCAAGTTTGCACCAGCTGCAAGCACCCAGCGCGCTGTAGCACGCTCCGTGCAAACGCACGGAGGTGCACAGCTTGACCCCCTGAAGCTAGGCTGCTAGAGCTAAGCAAGGCAGCGTCCCACCGAAGCTAAAAAGTCCTGCATTCTGCAGGGAGGAGCTGTAGACCTTCACGTGGGGTCTTCTAGCTCCCTTCCCCCCCACTCAGCCATCCCCGGGAGGTGAGGCACTTTCTCCAAGTTCCTTAGGGAGGATTGTAGACAAAAACCAACATAGGGCTAAAGCGCCTCCAAAATTTAAATCTGAAGCTTTTGGTTCCCTATTTATTCCAGTCCTATACTTGTACTCACTGACTCATAGGATTCCTACTAGCTCTAAATAACTTTCTAGTCCATACAATTCTAGCCCTATTTGCTTTTCAGTTTGGGTGCATATATAGTTCTCTGCCTTAGGAGCAGCTTGATTTAGATTCAGCAGGAGAGTGAAACTCCATGTGAAAAAAATAAATGAATTTTGCAGGAAGCTGAGACAGGCAGATTCCAAGTTTAAGCCCGGCCTGGGCAATTTAGCAAGACAAGACTCAAAAAGTTAAAAGGTCTGGGGATATACTTCAACCACACTTTAGGGGGAGAGTACATTGAATTTTGAAAGGAAGAGTTACACAGACGGAGATATGCATCAAAATTCATTCTATACCTCATATCTCTTCATTTTACTATGTGTGAATATACCCCCCAAAATATAAAAATCTCCAACGGCCATGTTTCAGCTTTTCCCAGGGTTCCTACCTGTGCACTCTCCACCCCCACCATGTCTGTTATTGTGCACAGCAAAATCCACCTGGTCTTCGCACAGGCATGTATCCTCCTAAAGCCAGCCCTTCCCCTCATCTTTGCCTCTCTGCAGCAGCTTCCAGCTGGTCTATTTCGGTGGATTCCAGGATCTTCCACACACACAGCCCCAGGGCCCAGCAGTGACTTGGTTCTTTTTTCCATATAAAGGGAAAAAAAGTTGGAGACCTCAGGCAAGTCTTAAAGCACTCTGCCTGCTCTCTGCACTTACTGCTGCACAGCTACCGCCAGGACATGCTCTTCGTGGACACTACCTGCCTCTGTTCCTTATCCCTCCTCAAACCCTGCCGAGGCCCATGTCCTACCAAGGCTGCCTTTAACACCCTTCCCTACCCTCCTCCCTTTTTACCAGTGTTGGCAATTGCTTTCTGCGTCCTGAGCTGCAACCTTAGAAGCTTAGTTCTCCAAAGAAGCAGGGCCACCCCACTTGACTTCTCAGCCACAGGGCTCTTAGTCGTTGGGCATGGTTATCTCTAATCTCTGAAATCCTCCAATCTGCCTTCCCTTTCTAATTCTGAGGCCCCTTCACAGACCCTCCCTCGCACTGGATTTTCCCCATTAGTGTTCAGAGTTTGAAATTGTTTCCTGAAGAAGCTTCTAGTTTTGCACAAAACCTATGAAGGCAGTGAAATTCTAGTCCCAGCAGGAAGCAGGACACAACCACCCATGAAGTTTGGAACCTCTTAAATGATAACCACTACTTTACTCCTGGATAGCCCAGTCCTGCAAGGCTTCCTTTCAAACATGGTAGTCAGCCAGATGTCACAACATGTATCCATGATCCCAGATACTCAGAAGGCTGAGACAAGAGGCTCCGGGCCAGCATGGGAAACTTAATGACACCTTGTCTCAAAATAAAATTTTAAAAAAAGAAGGGCTGGTGATGCAGCTCAGTGGCAGATCATTTACTTACCTTTCCAAGGCCTTTGGTTAAGTCTCCAGCACAGCACAGCACATACACACACACACACACACACACACACACACACACACACCCTGCACACACTGATTGTTATTGTCCACTTTTTTTGAATTTTTGTAATTATTTATAATTATTTATTTCACAAATAATTATTTGTAATTATTTATTTATTTGTTTGGTCACTACAAAACTTAGACTTGTAATGATCCTCCTGTCTCTGCCTTCCCAGCATTGGGATTTCGGTAGCCAGCTCAGCACTCCCAGCTTCTGGGGCCAATATGGCATGTGGTACCATGGTTCGAACTCAGCCCGCATTATGTTCTTTTTTAAAATTTTAACTTTTTAAAAATTGTACTTTAATATATAATCTGAAGGGGAATCCTTCCCAAGTTCCAGTGCAACTTTACAGAATGAGGTACATGCAGGAAGAAGCAGATGTCAAATCCCAAGTTACTGGGGACTGTATGTTACTTATAAGAATTTGTGAGGGAGGGATTTAAGCCTACAGGAAATTTGGGAGTTTGAACCCGTATGACCAGCATGTTGAGCATAACTGTTGTCATGAAATCAGTGAACAAGTCAAGTTTTCCTTCCCAGTCCACTGAGGGCTCGGAGGCGGGGTGCTCCTAGGACAGATAGACAGGAGAGTTCCAAGAGTGAAGAGTTAGGCTGAATATTTTGAATAACCTGGACCTGTGGTCTCCTTTCCTCTTTTTCCTCTTTCCAGAAATCAAAGCCCCAAAAATGATGAGTCAGACCTGAACTACTGATTTAGAAATTTCTCCAAGACATACCAAAAGTAGGGGGAGAACCGTTCCAAAATATGGCTTGGACAAAATTGAGTGGATGTGAGACCAAAAGTACAAATGATAACTTAGAATTTATTAAAAATCATAACTTTTAGGTCTTAAAAGACATCACTAAGAAAGTGAGAAGATAAGCTGCAGACTGAGAAAATACATAAAAATCATGTATTTTATAAAATATTGTATTGGGGATATATAAAAATAGGGGGATTTAGGCTCAGCAGTGTACCCCCATAATTCCAGTTTGAGGCTGAGGCAAAAGGATTGAGTTTGAAGCAGCTTGAGCCACAGCAGGAAAATACATCACTTAATTGGCAAGGTAGTATTAAGTATATTAACAGCCCTGTGGTGCCTGTAATCCCAGCACCTGGGAGGCTGAGGCAGGAGGATGATTGCAAGTTCAAGACCAGACTGGGCTACAAAGTAAGCTCAAAGCCAGCTTGAACTGCACAGTGAGACCCTGTCTCAAAAAAAAACCCCCAAATTTTTTTTAAATATATTAAAAGAATGATTACTCTTGACTCCCAATGGTGTAGCGTTAGTTTTTAATTGCTCTGTGACTCAGTTTTCTAATCTGTCAAAGGGAAGACAGATAATAATGGTGCCTATTTGAAGGGGCCATTAGTTGATACTTTGGAAATGTTTTAAGCAGTCTGCACATAGTGATGTGTCTATTGTTACTATTTCCATATTAGAAAGTAAAGAACAGGGAGAAAGCAGCATATGGAGGAGGCTGTATTGGAGACACCAGTGATAAATTCCATCTGCCATGCATTTTGTCCATAGAGCTGGCTGTGCTCCAGGGAACATTCTCTGGGTTGTACGTAGGTCAAGATCTGGGGCTTCCCCGTGCCGAGCATCAGCATTAGCCAGCTTTGCAGACTGTGGGTTTGGTGTGATGCTCTGTGTATGAAAATGCTTATGACCAGTAGGAGCAGCGGGGACCAAGGGAGAGGTAGAGCTGGTAGGACTGAGCCCCTGTGCGCAGGACCTTATATGAGAGGAGGACAGCTAGCTTGCAGTGGCAGGGGATTCGAAGAGGCATCACGGAGGAAACAAGAGCTTCTGAGTCATGGGAACCAGAGACGGAAGGCTGGGTGCTGCGAGGGAGCCGGGGGGCTGGGGGAGAGGTGCAGACATGCCAGCCTGGGACAGAGGAGTCAAGCTGGAGCCCAGCAGGAGATAAAGCTGGACAGATAGCATGGCACCTTGCCTGCCTGCCAGTGGGGAACTTGGCTTCTATCCTGCCGGAGAATGGAGGATGATGGGAGACTTTTGTCCTTGAGGTGTTTGAGGAATGCTAGTGTCAGTTCTGCCAATTACTGCGTGATCAGAACAAGCCACTCACTGGTTTTAGTTTGGTATGGTGTTGTTTTGTTGTGGTTAATTTTTTTTTTTCATTTGGAACTAGAGATTGAACACAAACCCTCAAACCTGCTACCACTCTAACACGGACTACACCTCCAGCCCCTGACCGTACCTTTGAGCCTTCTATCCTTATGTCATGACAGCTCTACCATAGGAATTAGATGTGTCTAAATGCCTGGCAAGATTGAAGAGTCAGGAAGTATCTGAAAGCAGATAATTACAGCAAGAACCTAATTGTTCAGAAAGATGGCCATCCCTGAGGTGGCAAAGGGAAACCTAACGAACTAGCTGCTGGGCTCTGCGCATTCCAGATGCCACCGGGATCAACACAGAGGGATGACAGTGTCAGAGTCCTGGACGTCAGACCAGCAAGATAGCTCAGCGGACTAAGCACCTGTCTAGGCAAGCACAGGGATGGAGGTTCAATCTCTGGCACTACATGCTTCACCTGCCCTGTCCCCAGGCATGGTGAGCAGGCCACAAAGACCGGGCATGGTGGCGCACGCCTGTAATCCCAGCGCTGGGCAGGCTGAAAACAGGAAGATCACGACGAGTCTGAGCTGCATAACAAGACCTTGTACCAAATACACTAAAAAAAAGAAAAAGAAAAAGAAAAAAATTTAAATAATACATAAATTTAAAAAATTCTGAATGTCATGATGATAAGGAAGATAGGCCTGGTGGCAGACGGCCTATGTTAGGAGACTTCAATGACGTTCTTTAATTATTTATT